TGGCAGAGGCCAAGATATTGGGGTTATCCTGGTTAACCAAGTGGAGCTTGGTCATATGCCGGGGGGAAAAATGTGAGGCATGTAGTGATTGCGGGAAAGGGTCCCACCTTCACGGAGGAAGAACGAAATGAGTCAGAGCAGCAAAAAGATAAGGGTAAAGAACTACATTGATAAGAACCTAACTAGGGGATTCATCCAAGCTGCCAAATCCCGAGTGGCTGCCCCCATGTTGTTCAAAGAGGATGGGTTGCTAAGATTATGTGTTGATTTTAGGGAAATAAATGGTGTGTGTATAGAAAACATGTGCCCTCTCCCCCTCATGAAAGATTTGTTGGGACACTTAGCCAAGGGGAAGGTGTTCCCCAAGTTGAACCTGAGAGAGATGTACTACTGAGTGAGAATCCAATGAATGGAAAACTGTCTTTAACTGCCTATTAGGATCCTACCAGTTTAAAGTGATGGCTTTCAGACTACAGGGAACCCCTGTCATATTCATGCAGCTAATTAATGAGTGCTGCATCAGCACCTATATAATGGGGTCCTGGTGTATCTAGATGGCATTCTTATCTGTCCTGACACAATTGAGGACCGTGAGAAGTTAGTGAGACAAGTGCTGAAAAAACTTTTAAACATTAAATTTTATGCCAAATTGTCAAAATATGAGTTCCTTAAAACCAGCCTACATTATCTAGGGTATAAGGTGCCTTGCGAAGGAGCTGAGATGGACCTAGGCAAGGTAAAAGCCATTTTGGAATGGCAAGCCCCATGAACCCATAGACAATTACAAAGGGTTCCTGGGATCACAGCGCTAAGACAGAAGGCAGGAGAGAGAGATCCCAGCCCAACCAGCTGTTGAACTGGATGATGGAATGCCAAGTGGCATTCGAAAAACTCAATAAAATGTTTGTGGCTGAGTGGCTCCTAAAGCACCCCAACCCTAAGGAGAAATGTGTGATTCAAGCAGATGCCAGTGATGTGGCAGTGGGGACAGTACTCCTCCAAAAGAACAGAGAGGGGAAACTACAGCCATGTGCTTACATCTCCCAAAAGCTAAATGAGATTGAGAGACATTGGGCAGTCTGGGAGAAGGAAGCCTTTGCAGTGCAATGGGCATTGTTGATGTGGAGGCAGTTCCTAGAGAGGAGTAAAATTCCCTTTGAAGTATGGACTGACCACAAAAACCTGGAGGTGCTGAGGACCTGCCAAAAAACTCTCCCCCAAGCTAGTATGGTGAGCCCAATATTTTAACCGGTTTGAATGTATTTGAGTTGAAATACATTCCAGAAGGGAAGAATTTCTTAGCTGATGCATTGTCCCGCATGCCCCAGTACAAAAGAAAGTGGTGAGCTCCATTATCCCCACCAAGTAGCTGGCCATGCAAGTAATCACCAGGTGACATGGGAAAAGGAAACTCTCCAATCCTAGTGATCCATTGATACAGAAATGATGAAGGGGCTACAAACCAATGCATGGTTCAGAGCCTACCAAGGGGAATTGACTCTGAGGAGGCAGATGGCTTGGAAAGGGGACAAGTTATATGACCCTGAAAGCCTACAAGTCTTACAGCAAATCCACAATGCCAAACAGGCTGGCCACTTTAGGTTCCTAAAGACTTTACAATTGGTTAAATGGCAAACAGGAATGAAAAAAGGACATAGATAGCTATGTAAAAAGTTGTGCTGTGTGTGCAGCTAAGAAAAAAAAAAAAACAAGAAAGAGTCCAGGATTGCTGCAGCAGGTAGTGGAGCCAACTCAGCCTTGGGAGGAGATAGCGATGGACTTCATAGCTGAATTTCCAGAAAGTGGTGAGAATACTGTGATATGGACAGTAATTGATCTGTTCTTCAAGCAAACTCACTTCGAGCCTCCCATCAGCCCAGAGACTAGCCAAGATGGTGGTGCAGAAGATCTATCAACTGGATGAAGTACTGAAGCATATCATTGCAAACAGAGGGATGAAATTTACAGCTAAGTTCTGATGGGAATTCATAAAACTTACAGAGTCTTCTCTAGGGCTCAGTTTTATGTTTCATCTGAGCACAAATAGAGCCATAGAAATATCTAGTGCAATGGTGTAAAAGTACCTAGGTTGCTATGTCAATGACCAGCAATCAAACTAGGCAGAACTCCAATCATTTGCTGAGGTTGCATATAACAAAACAGTGCATAGCAGGATTGGACTCATCCTGTTTAAGATAGCCATGGGGGTGGAGTTTGTGTCCATGCCAGAAAGAGCCTCCCTCATGAATGTCCCTAACGGAGTGGGTAGGGGCCTTCCTTATATTTTTAGAATATGTGGGGAAATGTAAGGAAGACCCTAGCTAAAGCAACTGAGAGTAAAAAAAAAAAAAAAAAAACCAAGGAGATAAAAGGCAAGCACCACAAGAAATATTTCACACACACACACACACACATACACAAAGTATCTAAAGTTAAGGTTACTTTGTAAAAAGCTATGTCCTAAGTACCTGGGGCCTTTCCCTATTGTGAAAGTGATTAACCCAGTCACAGTACAATTGAAATTGCCTTGAATACTGGGGAAAGTGCACCCAGTGTTCCACTTCAGCTTACTCAAGCTGGCGGTGGGATCTAGACTAAGGCCAATTGAGAAGGTCCGGGACCAATAATAATAGGGGGTGAAAAGCATTATGAAGTTAAACAAATTTTTAGATTCTAGACTTTGCAAAGGGAAACTACAATAGTTGGTGCAGTGGAAGTTATCCAAGTTTAGAAACAAGGTGGATTAAATCCCCCAATATTAAAGCAGGTTGCTTAATAAATAGGTTCCATGTGAAATAGCCTCAGAAACCAGCCCACCACCCAGTTAAGGTGTAAGGAGTTTAAATGCTATTAACATGTGTTTGATATTTTACAGGTATCCCCAACATTTTTTGGGGAGAGGGAGAGGACCTGTCAAGCTTCAAAGTGTATTCAGGCTGCTTTCATTTTTACTGCTTCAGAGCTTGCCAACAGACCGGGGATATAAGGAAGGGAGATATTGGAATGTGAATTCCAGACAATAAAAAGAAACTGTTTCATGGGAAACTGGACACTCCAACAGTTGTCCACCAGAGGCATGGAGGTTTTTTCTACAACAACACCGGGACACCTAATTCAACAATATGACCTGCACTAATGAGGGAAGGGAGGATTCTATATTTTAATTATATTGAATTGCCCAGGAATTGGCCAGAGCTGGTTTTGTTTTGATTGTCTGCTGAAATGATGTACTCAATGAAGTTTTGCATAAAGAGATTGGATTGTCTCAACAGTGTTTGCTTGGTTGGGTTTGTCAGTTGGAAACTTGACACAAGTATCTGCCTAACTCCTTTCCTAAATATTAAACATTGTGTATCTGGTCTGAGATTTTGTTCTGATTTCTATGGATTTATTGTATTATTGATTCTATTATAACTTTTGTAAGTCTCTATGGGCTTACATTGTGTCACATTCTCTGAGCCTTGTGTTAGGTATGTATCAACAGTCTCACCAGGCAGCCATATTCTCCCTATAAAGGACTGTAGCTTGCAACACAACAGTACAAAAATCATGCTTTTTTGGACTCCCACACAAATGCCACTGTTTATTGTGAAACTTTTGGCATTAAACTAGGTTTCTATAGGTTTCCTGTTATTTGTTTTTGGTCTTAAAATTGACAGAATTATTATCCCACTTCTAGAAATGTGGACATACCTAGCCAAGGTCAAGCTCTTCTCCTACCTGTGGCATGCAGAATAGAGGTTTAGTTTTTTTTAAAAAAAGACTGGAAGTGAAAAAGAATTACAAATGATGAAATATATGCCAGGGCGGTCTTCTTACATGATTGTTTTTCAACTCTCATAATTTACACTGCAGCCCCCATTCTGTTAATAATCTAAGATATTACTATTCTGTGTGATATGACAACTGATCCTGGACAAAAGCTTTTGACGATCAATTATGTTAATAATCACAGAGAAGTCAGTTTTATTTACATTTGTTAACTATATTAATAAGGACACAGAAGTCAGTTTCTTCTGGTGCACAAGTCTCTTGAGGAAATAAAACAAGATCAATAAACATTCAGAATAGAAATCTCTAGGACTGCAGATAGATGTTTCACTACATGGAAATTAGTGGGACAGCACTGACTTAAAGAAAGACTGGACAGATTCTATGTAGACTTTAAATAATGAATTAATTACATATTTAACATTGATACATTTTCCACATGATAATTATGAAGAATAAAAAATAGTTTTAACTAGCAGAAATTTGAACTAAACCTTCATGCATGAACTGATCTCTAACAGGTGAAGTAGCATTGCCAAAGTCATCTCATAATCTATCAGTATATGAAAAAAAGGAATGCATGGTAAAATCTGCAGGAAAAAATCTGTTTTTTTCCCCCTCTGCTTTTAAACAAGTTAAGTATTACTGCTGAAAATGTGCTAACATGGCATGCAACATTGTTGAAAAAAATGCTGAGATGTCAGAATACTAAGGTATAATATGTTGTGTTTCATTTTCTGTCCAAACTCTATTAGCAACATTATTGGTTTGAATTGGATACTGTCTTTTCCAACTGAGTTTTCATTTCCTTCTGATTATTGGATAAGGGAATTTATTAATCTACTAATATTTGAAGTTCTTTGATTAAATGTATTTAATAGTGGAGTAATGATATGTTTATCACCAGGTGAATATCAAAATAGCAGTTACATTGTAACTTAAGTTTTATAATTTCCTATTTAATATACTATTAAATACATGTTTAATAATCCTGTATTTATGTATTGGTTTAAAGGTTTTTATGGTATTATTTTAGCCTAATATCTAGTAGGGAAATTGAGAAAAAAAAACCTGTCACTTATATAAATACACACAGAGAGAGAAGTTATACAAAGAGGAAATCTGCTCTCAAGATTTCAAAGAAAGAGATATAGCAAAATATTTTTTATATTTATTGGCTAGATTTACATTGCCTTTCTTCTAGAAGCACAAAGCACCATACACTGGAATTCTTCAATTTTCCAACACTACCACAATCCTGTAGGAGTGCAGACACATTATGATGGGTCCAATTATTCACAGTATTCTTTCATTGATGAAAATAGACCTAAACCAACTTTGTTCTACCCCTAACCGTTTTGATCATTACATGAGATAACACAACTGAAAATAGGAAAAAAGGAAAAATGTGAGGTTGAGGTTGGTCCTTTAGTACAGAGAAGTAAAAATGGGAAACATTGTACTCTGATATCACTACCTTATATCCCTGTTTTCTGGATTCTGATCCTTTATTCATCCCATCCATGTTTTACTTTTCTTGATTTTTTCTATTCTCACCAAATAAAAATGCCACCTTCAACATTTTATCTGACTGAATTTCCCTCTTTTCTTTCATTGCAGTTATGCCAGCTTTGTCATAAATGAAACATGGAGAACCAAACCACAGTGACTTATTTTCTGCTTCTAGAATTCTCAAAAAATAGGCATCTGCAGCTTTTGCATTTTTTCTTCTTCTTTGTGTTATATCTGACAACTGTAACAGCAAGTGTTCTCATTATCACTGCAGTAGCTTTCGACCATCGCCTGCACAGTCCCATGTACTTCTTTCTCATGAATTTGGCTCTACAAGACATAGGCTCTGTTTCAATCATTGTCCCCAAATCCATGATAAATTCTCTCATGGACACCAGACACATCTCGTATCATGGTTGTGCTGCTCAAATCTTTCTCTTTATCTCCTTTGCGGCTTCTGATTTCTTCCTCCTGATAGTTATGGCATATGATCGGTATGTTGCCATTTGCCACCCACTGCACTATGAGATGGTGATGAATTGGAAATACTGTACTGAGATAATAATTCTGGTGTGGGCTTCAGGTCTCCTCTATGGAACGTTGCATACCACTGGCACTTTTTCCATCCTTTTTTGTTCTAATGTGGTCAATCAATTCTTCTGTGAAATTCCACAGTTGCTAAAACTATCCTGCTCTGGCATAAATCTACTTGAGGTTGGAATTCTTGTGGCCGGTGTCATCGCTGCAATAGGTTGTTTTACTTTTATACTTGTATCTTATGCAGTGATCTTCAAGACAGTTTTAAGAATCCCTTCTGAAAAAGGAAGGCAAAAAGCCTTATCCACTTGTATTCCCCATCTTACGGTAGTCTCTATGTTCTTATTAAGTGGATGCATTGCCAATCTGAGACCTTCTTCTAACACTCCATCTTATTTAGATTTTACTTTGACTGTTCTGTATTCCCTCCTTCCACCCCTGTTCAATCCAATTATCTATAGCATGAGAAATAAGAATATCAAATATGTCCTTTCTCAACTGTGTAGGTTTTAATAAATTATTGTAATCTTATTTATATTTATATATTTTTTCATTATTTTCCTTCTGTTAATAAAGGAATAAAGGTAGAAATGGATAGTTGGGATGGAACAAACTGAACCTTTCAAACAGAAGAACCATAGAACTCGAGATGTTATTTGCAAAAATCCTGGATCCCTAATTACTGTCAATTTAGTTTACCTGTTCTAAATATGGGTGTTTGGCAATTCCACAGGCTTGGGAAATTTAGTTGGGAAAATGACATTTTGGGTTTGATAATGACCCCTTGTGATGGAATGCTACTGATACTACAACTGTGTAGTAACACAGAATCTTATTCTGAATTTGAGGAGATGGCAGCTTTTTGAGATAGGTCAATCAAGAAACCAACTCCTCAAGTTTACCTGTTTTACTTTTAGTATATTAAAAGCCATGCTGTGTTTAAATATGGCTTGTAAAATAAGAACAAGATAAAATACCAGCAAAGATGAAATGAGGTTGCCCAGAGCCAATACGAACTCAGGAACTAAAACTTCCTGAGGTCATCAAGAGTTCCAGGAAACCAGATATACCCATCCAATAAAAGGAGACTTGCTATGCCATCAAAGGTTGTCTCCTAATCTTTTCATGTATAAATAGGAAATTTTGATTTATATAGAATGTCATAGAATAAAAGAATTGGAAGGGACCTTGGAGATCATCTAGTCCAACCCTTTGCTCAACCAGGAGAGTCTATACATTTCAGACAAATGACTGCCCAATCTCTTCTTAAAAGTTTCCAGTGAGGAGGCACCCACTTCTGTAGGCAAGTCGTTCCACTGGTTAATTGTTGTCATGTTTAACCTCCAGTCCTCAAATTATCTTTGTTGCTTTTCTCTGTACTCTTTCCAGAACACATCTTTTTTATATTATGGTGACCAAAACCTGATGCAGTAGTCCAGGTGTGGCCATACTAAGGCTTTGTAAAGCAATACTAATACTTCATGTAGTGTTGATTGGATTCCTGGCATGGAGTACAAGTGGCAACCCATTCTGGTATGTCTCTATCCATATTTGGCAACCACACATAGCTCCTGGCCAATGCCTTCATTCGAACAATGCCAGGATGTTTCTAATACCTGCTTCCTCAATTTGTGAGATACAACCACTCTATCCCCCCACAACAGACATCCCTTTTGGGCTGATAACTATTGTTTGGTTATAAATGCCTTGAATTCCTCCCCCACTGGCCCCTGTGGCCACCCTCTCAACACCCAGTTCAGAACTTTAGACAGAGTTTTGTCTTTAGCCGTTTGTCTGGCTATTTCAGTTGCTGAGACCGGGTTGTCTCCTCGATGAGCAGGATGGGTGCAATGGGGGCAGGGTCTTCAATAAATTCTGGGAAAGGGCACTGGCTGAATGTGTCTGTGTGAACTATGTCTTTGCCCGGCCGGTGTATTAGTCTATAATTGTTTGCTGCCAAGAAAATTGTCCACCTAGTCATTCTTGGGGACATCATGGTTGGTGTGGGATAGTCCCCTGCAATAATGTCCAGGAGTGGCTTGTGATCTGTAATGAGTTCAAAGTCCCTTCTATATAGATATTCATGGAACCGCTTGACTTCCGTTACAGCAGCCAGTGCTTCTTTGTCAAGCTGGCTGTAATTCCTTTCTGTGGGTGACAGCATTTTAGAATAGAATACAATTGGGGCCTAAGTCCCAATTGGCAGCTGGTGGCTGAGGACAGCGCCCACCCCAAAAGGGGGATGCATCACATGTTAATAACAGGGGAAGAGTCTCGTTGTATTGTATGAGGACACTTTCAGATGACAATAAATTCTTAACAGCAGAGAAAGCAGCATCTTCTTTTCATCCCCAGGTTCAAAGGCCTTCTTGTCTAGTAGTAAGACAAGACTTGAACCTTGTGTAAGGTTTTAGCAGCTGTAGCCTTCTGTGACAAAAAATACTATAAAAGTTTAATAGGGCAAGAAAAGCCTGGAGTTCTGTCTGGTTCTTTGGTGTGGGGGGCTTCCTTAATGGCCTTGACTTTACTTGTTATGGGATTTCTGAACTATCAATTAAATACCCCAGAAATTCAACTTGTGGCATGCCTATTTTGCGTTTCTCTTTTTTAACTTTAAGTCCGGCTTCTTGGAACCATCTTAATGTTTCTCTTAGCATGTGGGTTAGTTCTTCTTTGTTGTCCCCAGACACAAGGACATTATCAAAGTTAGACACTTCCCCCTTAATGCCCTGTAGGAGGCATTCCATCATACTCTGGAAAAGCCCTGGGGCCACACTCACCCCAAGTTGTAATTGGTGGCATTTAAATGCCCCTTAGTGTGTTACAATAGTCTGTGTTTCTGCGGTGTCGTCATCTACCGACAGTTGCTGTATCTATTTTCTATTTTCCACTATGGTGTCCAGGCAACACCGACTTTTTTTTCATTTATTTTCTTAAAATTCCCCTTATCTTTTAATTATTAACAATGTATTTCAATTTATTCTATTTTTATTTTAAATCCCTTACTAGTATAACCTTCCAACCCTTAACAATATCTTTCTTCTATTTTATTTCTTACGTGTATTGTTTTATTCTTATTTGCATCATTTATTAACATTTCCATTTTATTCAATTTTACATTTCAATTTTCCCCTTAATTTCAATTAATTCTTTTGTTACTATTATTTCTCTCGAATTTGTACATCTTCCAACAACAAAATATAGTCCATTCTGTCTTTCACATCCACTGATCTATTTTACATCAAATAGTGTATTTCTTCTTTTTTACTTACTCACATTTCATTTTATCTTTACTTATATCCTTTTTACAATAATCTGTATCTTCCTTCTAAATTGTTTTTAACATATGATTTCTAAAATTAACATCCTTCTCTTCAATTAGCATATTCATCTTTTAAATTCCTTTTTACTGTCTCCTATTTTCTTTTAATTTCTCCACAATTTCATTTCTTGACACTTTCCTCCCTTTCTCCCATTCCCTTGCCTTCTCCTCCTCCTTTTTCTTCCCCATTTCTTTCTCTTCTCTTCCTTTTTGAGATGTATTCCCCCTTATCCATTTTTATTCTATCACTGTTAATCCCAGTTAATCAGTTTTTTTATTCTGTCACTGTTAATCCCAGTGTAATCATTTTATTCTGTCATTGTTAATCCCAGTGTAATTCAACTTTTTTATTCTGTCACTGTTAATCCCAGTGTTATCATCTTTTTTATTCTATCACTGTTAATCCCAGTGTAATCATTTTATTCTGTCACTGTTAATCCCGGTGTAATCAACTTTTTTATTCTATCACTGTTAATCCCAGTGTAATCATCTTTTTTATTCTATCACTGTTAATCCCAGTGTAATCATTTTATTCTATCACTGTTAATCCCAGTGTAATCATCTTTTTATTCTGTCACTGTTAATCCCAGTGTAATCATCTTTTTTATTCTGTCACTGTTAATCCCAATGTAATCATCTGTATCTTTATTTCCATTTATTTCCTTCCCAATTCTCCATGTTATCAATTTAAAAGACAAGGATTTTTAAATTTATTATTTCTTTACATATAATTCATATTCAAAGTCCACGTAGTGTCTCTTTTTTCTTTTTTATGTTTCCAGATAGTGTCCAATTCAAATATTCCTTTAAGCCATTCCAATTTCAGTCTTTGTTCTCCCCACTCCTCTTGCAATCATGTTCTAGTTATTTAAACAAAATGCTTCCAGAAATTTCTCACGATGATATAAATAAGTTTAGCATGATACTTTCTTTTCACCAACAGATGTCTCTCTCCAATTCACAAATCCTGCAGCCACAAAATATCCCTTTGTAAATCCACAAAAATGATTATTTCCTCTTCTCCGAATTAAATCCTTTTGCTGTTTAAAGAATACTTCTCTATCTCCTTTTTTCTTGTCTTATTTTAATTTCATCCAAATCCAGTTTTAAATCCCGATGAAAGGTTCCTTTTAAAGCTTTAGTTTTAGATTTAAAATTTCTATTGTTCCTTCACTTAAATTCCCGAGTGCCAATTAGCCACTAATTAGTCATTGGGATTTCTTTCAAGCTTTTTTCTTCTTACCTGTGAGTTGGCCAATTACTCACCCGGTAACAATACTTTGTTCTTTCTCCACTCCTGCTCACATCTTAATCCAGTTGCCCCAGCTTGTAGCGGACATAATGGCCACCTCCCCCACCGTTGGGTCAAAGAGCTGTCTCTGACCTTCTGAGGAGCTTGCCTGCTCCTCTTTGATCTTTTGAGACACCTCTCTCTCTCTCCTCCATCCCTCCAAGACAGTTCCGGTCTGAAGACCTCCCAACAGCGGTTTGTCTGGCTGGGTTTTTGCAAAGCCCATCGGAGCTTCGCTATTTCCCAGCCAGTATTACCACGACGCTTCCGGTTCCTCTTCTACAGGTAGATAGGCTTGCGCTAGATCAAGTTTTGCACATATTTTGCCTTTTCCCTAATGAGTGCAGTAGATGCTGAATGACCGGTATTGGGTAAGCACTTTTGCAAGGCTTTATTCATTTGTAGTCAGCGCACATGCTGATTGACCCATCTGGTTTAATGGGGGTGACTATTGGAGTCTCTCACTTAGTGTGATCAACTGGCTCCAAAACCCTTTGAGTAATTAGTTTGTCCAAGTGTGCATCCATTTTGGGCTGGAGAGCAAAAGGAACCCTTCATGGCTTTATTCTGACAGAGACAATGTTGCGGTCTAGATTGAAAGAAACAGGGGTCCCTTTATACTTGCCTAGACTCCCCAAACTTGCTCGAGATGTTCCCAAACTCAGTTAGCAGCTTCTCGAAGTCATCTCCTTGGACAGTGTGAATGCCGGTCACTCCTAACCCCAGGGGTCTGAACCATTCTACCCCCAACAGGCTGAGTCAGTTGCTGTCCATGACTGTTAGCTGCAATGGTCTGCTGAATTCTTTAAATTTTACTTGGACTGATGCTCTTCCAAGGATAGGAATACAGTTTCCTTGGAAGTCATTTAATATAATTCTCTATGGCTTTAGGTGTTTCTT